TTACTTTTTTGTCATATCTATTATCTTCTAATTCCTATTCAAATTATGTTCTACATATTCAAATCATGGTTTTACTATTTATTCTCTGACCAGGACACAGACATCAGAATAAACACCTGTGGGCTTGAATGGTACCAGCTGTCTTTTATTAATTATGCCAACTTGGGGAAGTTATTTTAAAATTTCAATCTCAGTATCCCCATAAATAAAATGTTGGTAAAAATGATAGGTTGAGGATTAAGTGATTTAAAACCAAAATCTTTACCTTTTAATTTGCACTTAATCACTTAGGTAAGTTTTGACACTGCAATTACTAATACTTTTCCCTTCAACCATTTGCCAAATAGGAAAAAAAATGGCTATTTTAATACTTCCTTGGTGGACTTATTTTAACAAGTAATAAAACCATATATGCCTTTATATACACTTATCTATACATACATACAGATAAATAGATTAAAAGATAGATAGTAATTGGCATAATAGTCTGTCCTTAATAGAAGTTAGTTCTCTTTCTGGCCCACTCCACCCTAATATATTCTGCAGATGGAATATTCAGCTCATGTCTTGCCATATTTTCATAAACATTTGCTTCAATTCAACTTCCTATAGATAATGTTTCATGAAATGCAGGATGCTTTTTGAAAACACCGATTTACAACCTTTTGCACAAAATGAACTGAATCAGAATCACATTGTAGATACTTTAGCAGTTTAAAAAAGCTTCTCAGGGGAGTCTGCTGGCCTTTAAAGCACAGAACTATGGATGGGAGTTCATAAAGAAAAAGTGAAGAGAAAGGAACTGTAAGAATGTATGATGTAGTAGAGTAAGTCATAAACATATGAATTAATTAAGAGTGGAAACCAGGAAAGTACTAAAAGGGTGGATCATCAAATTTTTGTCAGGTGTTTTCTGTAGAATCCATGATCTACTCAGGAAGAAGGATAATAAGAAATTAGAGTTCACTTCATTGATAATTTGCCAATAATTTAACCTTAGTGGTAGGGCCACCACTCTAGGAAAAATTACTGATTATTTCCCTCTTTGTAAGTCTTAGCGACTTTAAAATACTGTTGTGTTAATAATGGGTTGCTCTACCTACTCAAGTTTATCTATCACCTTTTATCTGCCTGTCATCTATTTAAATGAATGGCTGGTATAGAAGAATATGATCTAAAACTTTTCATCAAAAGAAGGTTATTTTCAGCTCCCATTTTAAAATACTTATCAGTTAGCATCACCCTATATACATTGAGGCTTTTTTTTCTTCCTTCAACCTAAAATGCCTTTTCTCAGTACACATGCACACTCATTTTCCAAGTATACAGTAAACTCAAATTGGCTAACTATGTACATTATGTTAGATCCTTATTCAGAGTCTCTAGTTTTTGACAACCAATGCAACATGTACTTCTTACAAATCAACTTGCCAAGCTGTAGAATTTGTAGGGTACGAATTCATCATATGTGAGTCTATTTTATCATAATCATCACAAGTAATTAGTTTGGGTAAGAAAAAAGTGTACTGCATAAATGCTATGGTTTGAACGTGTCATCCTAAATTAATGTGTTGAATTTTCTTTCCCCAGTGTGGTTGCCTTGGGAGGTGCGGCCTTTTGGGAGGTGTTCAGATTATGAGGATATGATATTAAGGATTTAAGGGAGTAGATTCTTTCTCTTCTGCTCTCCTGCTATGTGAAGATGCAGTAAGTGGGCCCATCTCATATGTTGGCACCTTCATTTTGAAATTCCCCATCCAGAACTGTGAGAGAATAAATTTTTGTATTTCATAAATTACTCAGTCTCAGACATTCTGTTAAATTAGCTTAAAACAGACAAAAATAACAAACTAGGTCACTAAAACATGGTTAAGCCATGTTTTTAAGTGAAAATTTCTTGAGAAGAATGCAGATTTATTGCAAGGATTCTTAAGTTTCAGTTAAGATTCATTTCCATGGAATAGGTACTAATTGATCTAGTTTTGTATCTAAAGGATAGGAAATTATGATCATTTTTAACATAGTGAGGAGGAATTTTGTTTATGAGTATATTGATTTATAAGGGTAAAAATATTTTATAATTCTTATACTAGATTTCAAGTGAGTTAATTCATTCAAATATTACACTTTTATGAGGTTAGCATTCAGAATCACAGTACAGCTTCAGGAAATCAGACCTTGCTTCTGATGATGATGCAGTGTTCCTTTTCTACAACCTTCTGTGATGCCGACTCTGGAAATGAGGAAAACTACATTCTACTTCTTCTCTGCAAAGGGTGGTGTCCATACAGTCTTTTGAATCTTGGCTCCATGCAGGCCACAAAGGAGCCACAACTATTTTTTTCTCCTCAGTTTTTCAACACCATCTTTCAAAGCTTTGTATTCTTTTCATTTTTATCTAAATTTTGCAGCAGTTGACTAGAGGGGGTTTTTATTCTCTCCTGTCTTATATAATGAAACCTGGATATTTTTCTTAGGATCTTCCCCTCTTGTATTGACCAGAAAAAAAATAAAATAGAAGAGACAATATTTCATTCATTGCTTTGTGTATCAATTCTGCCTTGGCATGTACATCTCTCCTTTTATCTTCCCACATTCTTATTTTCAAACTTAGCTATCATGTTCTCTAATTTCACATCTGATCCATTATGAATCACAAGAAAAGTCTGAGTTCTTCTGAAAGATGATCCTACCATCAATGTGATCATTTCTAGATAGCTTAAATAATCTTAGCTTCATTAGGTTTTTATTTCTCTCCTCATGAGCTCTTGACATCAGTTTCTCCTTTTGATTCTCCATATATCCCTTATAATGCGACTTAATATTATAAAACTATAGGCTTTCTTTAGTGTTTTCTGTAACCCATATGAGTTATCTTTCTATAGTCTTGAAATTTAATGTGAAAACTTTCTCCATTTAAATTAAAAGGATAATTTATGTAAAAGTATTTTACATATAGTATATCAGTAAATATATAATTATTATAAATACTGTATTGCTACCATTACTATTGTTAATTTATATCTTTGTTGTTGTTGTTGTTGTTGTTACTAGGGATTAAAACCCAGGGCACTTTACCATTGATGTACATCCCCAGGCGTTTTTAATTTTTTTAAAAAATTTTGAGCCAGGGGCTTGATAAATTTCCAAGGCTGGACTCAAATTTTCCATCCTCCTAGCTCAGTCTCTGGATCACTGGGATTACATACAGGTTTGCACTACATTTATTTTTAAAGCAAACTACTTGCCCCCCTTTTCTACCAAATTTATAACATTAAGAAATATATGAATATATATATATATATTCACAGAGAGAGAGAGAGAGAGAGAGAGAGAGAGAGAATAGGAGAATGCATGTTAGAATTTGGAAATAATTATTTTTTGTAATTCTGCTAGCAATTGAAAATTAATATCACTGGTATTTTTAGAAATTCCTCGTGATTGATAATTGTGCAAATTAAAGTCATTCCATCAGTATTCTAGTTTATGCTTTTGTATATGTATTAATAATTGAAATTCTGAGTTCTTATTTACATTCATATTGTTATTTACATTATTATGAATTTATTGTCATATTGCCAATGATTTTCTTATAACTGAGTACATACTATATTTTCTCATATTTCTTTCCTAAGTATCAATGACCTTCCAATGATGCCTTAGTTCTTTGATTCGTTTAATCATGTAACATGTCATAATAAATAGGTGTTTTATTCAGTGAATTGCTGATATTTCACACCTACCTCATAGTCTTTTATAGTTCTAAAACTTTCTTAATAACTGATAACTCTTGTTCTTCCCAAACAATGGTATCAATATTAATACTTGTTTTTCAAAAACATCATTTTCCATTTACTTCCTGGTGATTTTTCTACTTGATAGACATAATCCTAACATACTATGGCTGTGAAATTGTAAAATAGGGCTCTCTCTCTATTACTTCTTTCTAAATAGACACACAATACACATATGCTCTGTATTTAGAGGTGAGGCCTATTATAGGTTGAATTATGTTCCCTCAACCTTGAAGAAGAGATATGGTGGAGTTCTAACCTACAGTATTCAGAAAGTGACCTTATTTGCAGAAAGAGTCTTTATAATGGTGACCAAGTTAAGGTGAGGTCATTAGTGTGGACCTAAGTCTATTATGAGTGCTGTCCTTATAAAAATGGAAAATTTGGACACAGAAAACATGCACAGAGAAGATGGCCATCTATAAGCCAATGAAAGAGTCCTAGAACATATTTTTTCTTACAGTGTTCATTAGGAACTGACCCTGACAATACCTTAATTTTGGACCTCCAGCCTCCATAACTAATAGATAATAAACTCCTTCTGTTTATGCCACCAGTTTATGTGCTTATTTATGACAGTATTAGCAAACTAAAACAAGGCACATTAGAAACTTAGAAAGGGAGAAATTGGGTTGTTAGAGAATTACTCTGGTATTTGGGTATGTACAGCTCAGGTCTTTAGCTCATGACAAAGAAACCTAAAGTTGCACTCTAGAGCATCGCATTCCTAGAATAAACTTTTACAACTTGTTTTGCTTTATATAACCATGAAGTGGTCGCTGGAGACCTTCCTTACATTTGACTGAAAAAAGCAAGCCAAAGCCGGGTACAAGGCATAAGAAACAAGAATCATTGTCACCTATAAGTAGACTTCTTTCTCCAATTAGTTGTCATTAAGAAGAAAATGCAATGGGTTTTAAATTCTCTCACTTGTTGGGAGGGGTGGGGCACTGAGGAGATAAAGGGTGTGGACAGTGGTGTGTAAATAAAGCAGTCAGAAGCCCCAGAGAGGGCGAGGACAGAGCTTCACGGAAGAAAAACATATGAACCTGGTTGGTACAACAGAGCTTCCCCAGACCCACCCACCCACCCTTTCAGGATCCGTGTGGGTAGAGTGGCGGCTGGAGGCTGACGGCGCTTGGTGCTGAAGGGACAGCTCCAGCAGCGGCTGCTTTGGGGGAGAAACAAAACCCTGCAGATCAAAATCCAAGCTGGGCGCCTTCACCTTCGCGTGGGTGAGCTCTCCTGACCTCCGGCCAATCTTTACTCCTGTCGCCACCAGCCGATCTGTCGGTTCCCGGCGGGATCCGGCAGCGCCCGCTGGACCCGCCCCGAGCTCATGGTTTGCCCAGCCCTGCGCGATGGTGACTCTGGGCGCGGAGGTTGGCGATGGGCGAACCCACAGATCACAGAATGAAGGCGGGGAGCGCGGCCAGCGGCCGGCTGGGGCTGTCTCCCCGACCTCAGCGCCCAGAGAAGCGGCCCTACCACCTGAACCCAGAAAACGCCAACAAGTAGTTTCTCCTCGGAGAAGGGAGGCTCAGCTGGCCACCAAGACTGGGTCCGGCTGCCCGGAGAACCTCGTCCCTTCTGAAACCAAAGCAGAACCACTTTTCTCTCGGTTTTGTTAAGGTATCTGTGGATGAGGAGGGGATAATGGGATGATTTCCTGGGAAGGGCATGTTGACCCCGCAGGCGGGCATCCCTACCCCCCAGGTCTTTAGGCAATAAGAATGTAGAGAGAAGAAGCTCTGGGGAGAGGGAGCTGAAAGGCTGGAAAACGGGGCACTGCCAGCCAGACTTCCAGCTCGCGGATCCAGGGGGTGTGCCTCCGGGGGCTTTTCCCTGGGCCTTGCGCCTCCTAGAACGCTAATCCCCTACTCTCCACCCCCAAGCATTTGTTTTTCTTGAGAGGGGGGATGGGTGGGAGGCATTGCTCACTTGTATTCTCAAAGATGGATCCTAGTTAGTCGTTTCCTTTCCCAAGTAATAATAACATTAACAACAATAACAACAACAATAATGTGAAAAGGAAATTGGATAAGGAAATTAGTCAGAGGTCTCCTCGGCAAAAGACAACAGCAGGGAATATTTTTCTGCTCTGACTTCTGCGTTCAGTCTTTTTGCCTGGTCTGTGAGGGAGAGCAGGAGTGAACCAAGAACAGGTCGCTCAAAGGGCACTCCCTGAGTGCTAGCTAGGGAGCAGCGGTGCAGGGTTGAACAAGGGTACGCAGGAAGTAGGGACTCTCCGCAGGGTCCTGGGGGCCCTCACCCCACACTGTCAAGTAGCCTTAGGGGAGAGAACTCCCTGCCTAAAGGAATTACATCCAGGCTAGTGGAGGAGGAGAGAGGGGATCTAGGAGAAGGGAAGGGAGGGACCTTCCAGGGGAGGGGGAAATAATGGGGTATCCATGGGAGAGAAAGAGGATTTAGGAAAGTGTGTGTGAGTGCGTGGGGGGTCTGGAGAGGGAGGAGGGGTTTAGGGACTCAGGGTAGGTTAAAATTGACAGGGGATGAAGGGGTGGGAGGGTGGAGGATGAAAAGCTGAAGGAGAGATTAGAGCCCAGGGAATAAGGTGTGAGGCAGGGAGAAAGGTTTCATGGAAGGTCAAGAACACTTTTACTGCTATCTTCCTTCTCTGGAAATCTGGGAAAGGTGTGATGCAAGAGGCGGGGACAGGGCTGGACGCTTCTCTCTTGGGAAGGTCCTTTGCCCCTTGCCTGTTTGCTAACTCTGCATCTTGGGACTCTTGGGTTGGTGTGGGGGTGGGGGTCATGGTGTGTCTCTGACAGCGAGATCTTTAACTTGGCGCTGTGTTCGCCTCCCCCAGTCATGTCTGAGCCACAGAGATGGGCAAGATCGAGAACAACGAGAGGGTGATCCTCAATGTCGGGGGCACCCGGCACGAAACCTACCGCAGCACCCTCAAGACCCTGCCAGGAACGCGCCTGGCTCTTCTCGCCGCCTCGGAGCCCCAGGGCGACTGCCTGACCGCGGCTGGTGACAAGCTGCAGCCCTTGCCCCCTCCACTCTCGCCGCCGCCGCGACCGCCTCCGTTGTCCCCGGGACCCGGTGGCTGCTTCGAGGGCGGCGCCGGCAACTGCAGTTCCCACGGCGGCAGCGGCGGCGGCAGCGACCACCCTGCAGGCGGCCGCGAGTTCTTCTTTGACCGGCATCCAGGAGTCTTTGCCTATGTGCTCAATTACTACCGCACAGGCAAGCTGCACTGCCCCGCCGACGTGTGCGGGCCACTCTTCGAGGAAGAGCTGGCCTTCTGGGGCATCGACGAGACCGACGTGGAGCCTTGCTGCTGGATGACCTACCGGCAGCACCGCGACGCAGAAGAGGCGCTGGACATCTTTGAGACTCCTGACCTCATCGGTGGCGACCCTGGCGACGACGAGGACCTGGCGGCCAAGAGGCTGGGAATCGAGGACGCGGCAGGGCTTGGGGGACCTGACGGCAAGTCTGGCCGCTGGAGGAGGCTGCAGCCCCGCATGTGGGCCCTCTTTGAGGACCCCTACTCATCCAGAGCTGCCAGGGTAAGGCCAGAATTGACTCTTCTCAGCTGCTTCAAATTCCCCCAATTCCCTTCCCAACTTCTGTTCTTTTCCACCAAAGGCCTCTGGGATGAAGGGTAGAGAGAAGAGGGGCTCTCTAGAGATGAGTTTTTTAAGTTCATCTGGGGTAGGGTAAGCCCAGGGACCCTGGCCCCTATCTTCCCACCTTCTCCACCATCCACTCCTCTTCTCCTAACTCAAACTGAGATTTACTTTAGTAGATGGGACCTAAAGGGCACATGCAGACTTCTCTGTACAATTCTGGAACTTTGTCCTCCAACTAGTATCACCTTCACCTTGAGTGTTTTTCCTCATTCTTTTGTTCCAACTTTTCTCTTTAGCTTGGATGTCTCTAATTTCCTGGTCATCCTGATGTGACATTTTTCAGTGACCCTGACCCTTTCATATCTGACTCACCCAGGGCAGTGGCTCTAATTAGAGATCTAATGTGAGGACAGAGGAAGGGGAAATGGAATATATGTATGTGACTGGGGTGGAGGGAGGGAATACTAGAGAGTCATCTTGTGAAGACAATACCGTCTAACCTGTCTCTTCAAAAGGAGAAGAATTTGGTATTGAGATTACTTACCTCAGTGAGTTGACCTCTGAGATAGCCCACCTACTCACTGAAGCTTTAAGCCTCGTGCCTTTCCTCCTGGGTGATATCTAAGTTCCTTATAGGTTGATCCTAAATACTCACTTTGATGATCCTATTCTCTAGGTCTGAGTGATTTAGATTGTAGGAAACTTTATTTTACTTTTTGTATTGTGATCCTAGCCTCAACTCTTCTTCTTCTCCTCCTCCTCCTCCTCCTTCTTCTTTTCTTTTCTTTTTTTTTTTTTTTTTTGTTTCTAGGTTACGTGACAGCTTATATTTAGTCCTTGACACTCCCAATTAATTCTTCAAAATCCCATGAAGGGACTATAAAAGTAACCAATAATGATTTCTGCAGTTTAAAGGAAATAAAAGAAATATAAATAACCAAAAATTATACAGTATGTAATGGTTTTTAATTATATATGAGAACAGAGTACTGTACTTAGTTAAATCTTTACAATTGCTTGTGTCTAGTTTGCTTATACCACCCAGAAAAGACACCCCCTTGGGCAGAATGGGAATTTTCCCAGCTTTACTTTGGCTCTCTCCTAATTATTATCTTTCTCTACATGTCAGAAATTCCTGCATCTTAAATATTATGAAGCTGTCTATCCACTAACATGTCAGAAAATGTACTTTTGATACAACTTTGGAAGTCTTCAGATGTGTTTTGTTTTTAGTGAAAAGTAGAATACAAAAGAGACAATTTAAAACATTGTTACTTTCTGGGATCTGGTAATTGAATGCATACACAAGTTCTAGCATGTCTACATTCTCAAATTTGAATTTAGGATTAATACAATTTTGAAATCTTTCTTTTAAGACCATCCTATAAACTCAACAACAACAGTTTGCATTCAGAAAAATGTATATATTTATTTAAATTAAATCACAGGCTTATGACCCTTTTATCAGTGTTGTTTGGTTTCCAGATGAGCATTACGGTGTTCTTTCCACTTGGTTGTTAAAAAGATAATCTGAATTTGTTTTCAGGTTCATCATGTGTTTTTTTTTCCTTCTTCTCCAGATTGTGTGCTATAAAAAAGATGGAATGTTTTATTATCTTTCCTCATAAAATAACATGATATTCTCAAGTTTTATGTTATATTTTGTTGTCATCAAGTTATATAGGTGTTCAGCTTTATCATTGTTGTGGAATTTAACTCTATTGATTATTGATCAACAGTGTATACCATTGACTTGAAAATAGTTTGTTTTTTAAAAATCTTACTTAGATTTTAATATAATTATATTGAGGATTTGGCCTGCATCTATTTTAGATGAGGAAAGGACATAGATTTTAGAGATTAACACAGATTACAGATCAAGTGGAAGCAAAATCAGCTAAAAATCACTAACCTGAAAAATGTTTTCAAAGCCACCTCGCCACCTTTAAATAAGTTATTTTTATTTTGTAGATGAGGTAATTGAAGGCTCAGATGTTAAGTGATGGCCAACATCAGATATCAAATTAATAGCAGAATCAAATTTATTCAAGAGGTCTCATGATGCCCTTTCCAGGCTCTTTCTACCAAAATCATTGATTATAACTGACTGAATTGTGAAATCTCTGCAGACGGTATTGCTGTTTTGATTGGCACATAACATATTCACTAGAGTTCAAACTTTAGAAAACTATAATTTTTAAAAATAGTATTCTAGGAGTTTGGTGAAATTTTTACCTTGTGCTACCCAACAATAGAATCAATATATGGGATTTGATTAAACTTCTTAAAATGAACCCTTTTTGAAATTTCCATTTTTATTGACCAGTCTGTTTAATGTTTTGCTTTCTTTTGTGGGTTTTGTCTTCAGGATATCCTTTTTCAAATAACCAGAGAGTTGTCTAAATCATAAGACATTATTCTATTTAAGAGTGAATTAATATATTTTATATCATCACTTGCAGTTCAGATGATTTGGCTTAATGTTATCTGACTACTTTGATAAATAGAACTACATTGGGAGGTCATGGGATGAAATTATATTTTTCATGAACATGATTCTAGGAAACATAAATCAATTTTCAAGTGGTTTGCTTCAACTATGGGCTTACTGTCACCAGTTTCATCCTTTTTTTTTTTTCACTAGACACTGAACCATATCCCCAGCCCTATTTTGTATTTTATTTAGAGACAGGTTCTCACTGAGTTACTTAGTGCCTGCCATTGCTGAGGCTGGCTTTGAACTCCTGATTGTCCTGCCTCAGCCTCCAGAGCCACTGGGATTACAGGCGTGCATCACTGTGCCTGGCTACAAGTTTCATTCTCAATAAAAGTCATGTATTTACACTTTTATAAACTTTTTTAAAACTTTTCTTTACATTAGCTCATCTTTTATTGAAATACTTGAATGAACAATATTAACAGTCTGAATTACTTTTTTAATTGTTGAATGTTTCTTTATTTTCTTTATCTTTTCCCAATATTGAGAAGAAGATTCATTTATTTATAAAATAGGTGTATTTTACTTCTAAATTTCATGACTTAAACTGTCAAATTAAAACACTAGTGATAGGAACTGGATATTTACTTCAGCTCTACAAAACTGAATTTTTGCCTTTTGGTAGTTGGCATATCTCCTTCTATGGCTTTTAATTTATGGTGTAAATACATATTTGAGAAGTGTAAATTGTTCTAGTTAATTTGGTAAAAAAAAGTTTATATTTTATACTTACGTTTCTTATCCTTAAGAATAGTATTCAAAAATAGAATTTTCAAAAATATTCAAATATAAGTTGTCATGGAAACCTGTTGTGGAGAAAATGAGATCAGGAAAGAAAGGAGAGATTATTCTGTTGATCCCAGTGATGATTTTTTACAAGTAGTAAAAAGCAGGGATGCATAGATGAATCTGTAAAGATGTATGTATGCACTATATGTTTCCAATTTAATATATAAGTTTTAGAGAAGGTGGAGTTTCTGTGTGCTTTTCTCTGAAGACCCACTGTCTTAAGTAAGACTGCAGACTAGGCAGACATTCCTTGATAGAACTTCCTGATGTTTTAGAAGTTAAAAAATAGTATGATTATGAAACACTACAACCAGAGACTATTTCAAAGATTTTGTTCCTTTTGTTAAAGAACTGAGAACAGGTATGAGTTTCTCTTTTCATTTATTTTCTGTAAGAGAAGGAGTTGACAGAGTTCTGTTCTAGTTTAAAGTGTGACTCTTTTTTTTTTTTGGTGATTTAGGCATATCTTTGACTACCAGATAGAGCTTTCAGTTTCTACTTTCAGAGAGCATTTTAAAATAGGAAAAACAAAAGTAAACTTTCATGGATTTGAAAACATTTAAGATCTGGATTGTGCATGGATCTAATTTATTTCACATATGTTCCCCTGACCTTTATCCAATGTACATTACTGCACACTGTACAGTCATCCTTAACCACATGTGGATTGCAATGATGAATCCATCATTTTTAAAAATCTTGAAATATTCATTTTATTATCATTTTAGATTGCTTCAACTTCACTGTTTTACTAAAATATATTCCCTAAAAGCTCTTAAAATTTAAATTCAATATCTGGAATTGGATTCCACATTTCAAATATTAAATTTACTTTTATGGATCACATTTACCTCTTCCCCAAACCACAAGCAAACAGAAAAGAAATTATCTAAGTAACTGATAAGTAGCATTAAATGTAATGTTTCATTTTGAAAAATTATAATAAGGTAGGGGTAATTTGCATCATATGTTAAAATTAAAGAAATAAAACATTACTTTTTATTTTATAAATATTGCTCCAAATAAAGGAATTAATTGAAAAATATAGGTAGTCATAATAATTTTTTGTCAATTATAAAAATTTTAGAATGGCTTTTTATTCAACAAATATTGGTTTGCAGTCACTTTAGACTAGAAATTGTGTATATTAGCAGGAATGCATGGAGAAGATATAGGTGCTCTCAATAACTGCACTATTTTATTTATAATAAGACATTTCCTAAATACAATATTGACTGAATTAAAAAAATAAAATAACTGCAAACAAAATTCCAGAGATATTAAAGATAAGTTTATCTCAAAAAAATCTTACACAGGAATATTGTCTGACAAATACAATCAAACATTCATATTAGAAACAGTGGTGTGAAAGTACTACTGGTCTCTATTATAAAGGGTTAAAGCTCTTTTCATTTTTTGTTTTTCCTCTTCTTCTTAGTTGATTTGTGATCTCTGACACAACTTACCATCTGAGATTCATTTCTTCTTTGGGTTCCTACTCACTTCACTTTTCTCCTATGAGAAAAAAGGTCTTTTCTTTTCATCATGGTTCAATTCCTTTTCCTCCATCAACCTCTTACACATTGATATTTTCCTGGGTTTAACCTGTGATTCATTTGTTTCGCATTCTAATGTATAACTCTTCGGGTCA